GTGATAACAAACGGTAGTTTCATATAAGAGCTATCTTCACTGTAACATGAAGGTAATCAAAAGTTCATTTATAACCACTCTCGAGAATGGTTATTTGATACTACCATCAGACAATGCAATTTTTCATGGCTATCAAGGTAAACTCATAAAAAAGTGTGAAATTTCCCTAGTGTGATATTCCGTAATAACATCAGTAAGGGCGAGAAAATCCAACTTACTAACATTTGACGAACGTACGTATAGTAACAACGTATCTGAATAACCCACCTACATAATTTAATATACAATATAGTTGTGAAGGTGTTCGAAAAGACTCGTGTCTCTTAGTTCCTTGTAACTTGATGATGGTGAAAGTTACTATGTTATTAGGAGCTTCTACCTGTTTTGGCCTTGTTAGGCACAATAAGCACTTTGATTTTAGGTAATAATTTTGGTGTCGATTAGGGTACCACGAAGGACTATACATCGGTAAATAATGCCTCAGAATCATTGGTATGCAGCATTATTTACTAGCCTTTGGATACCAACCCTCTTTAATTAAGTTGATTTGTTACGCTGAAGGTGCCTAGTCAAGCATTCCCAGCATTCGGCACGCTGTCATTGTACGTACTGTCCAATATGCAATATCGATTTTACGAGCTAGTATAAACCAATTTGATTTCTTTGTGCTCGCCTCTTGATTGTGAGGTATAGGTTTCTGATCTTCGGCAAACTTCTGCGTAGCCCGTCCCGCCACTCGACTGTCGTAGCTTTGGTTGACTCCAAAAGGAGTAGTGCAGGGATTAATTATATGTGGTTTGTAGTATGAGGTGTGTTAAGATTGTTACTACTGTGAATGGAGTTGATCCTTTCACCAGTTGGTCCTTCGGTATCGTCGTCAAAAGAAAAGAGATAACAATAATAATAGATATAATTAGTGAAGGTATTCAGACTAACAGACAGAAAAAGAATAAGAAAACGTAACAACAGTCAGTCAACCGGTATATATATACCAGTAATAATGATAATAATAATAATAGGTGTAGTTAAAGTTGTCAGGAGAGTAAGACGGGAGAGAATGTGAAGTAAAACGACAAGTTTAATTGTCTGCCCATTATTAATGTGTGAGTTTTAAGGGGATAGTCTTGGACGTAGTCTTCGTGTCGCTGCATGATCGTCCAGCCTTCGCTTTAGGCTATCCAGAGACAGTGCCGTAGCTACATCTGCCGGTAAGGAATTCCAGGGACGGCAAGCCCGCAGTGCAAAGGAGTGGGAGCGCACACGAGTCTTCGCCCTCTGGTGAGCTATCCTCCTGGGATTTCCACGAGGAAGCCCATACCTACTCAGTGGCAGAACACCTTTGTTTGGGTGATTCTGGTCATTTTTTATCTTATAGGCAGTAACCAAGTCCGTCCGAAGCCGATGGTAGCTAAGTGTGAATAGGCCTAATTTCTTCAGCCTCTCATCATATGGTTTATTTCGGAGACTAATCCTTTTGTCGCCCGTCTTTGGACTCTTTCCAAGAGGTTGGTGTCTCTTCTAAGCAGTGCGGGTGCAATAATATTATGACTTCAAGGTCTGACGTATGTTTTGTACAACCTTAGTAAGATCTCGGGAGTACGCCGCATGTCAATATGTAAAGTGTATAACCGCATATACCCTTGCTACATCACCCGCGTAATTTACGCTTGTGCCAATTTTTTCCGTTAGAACTAGGCCTAAGTCACACTCCGACGTTGTGCAGGATAAGCTTTCATTGCACAGGGGTGTTTACGTACGGACACTAGTTCAATAAGCAGTCATTACCACTCAACGTTTCTGATCCCAAAATACACATCTTATTCTGAACGATCAATTTGATGTCTTGATTTACTTCTGGTCTCAGCAGGACAAGTACTGTGGGAGTTATACGATGAAAACTTGTGATTATTTTTCCAGCGTACCTTGAGTAAATGACGACATTCGTCATCTCTTGAAGCTGTCGCTTGAACGAATGGAGCTACCTGGTAAATCTCTGGCAATTGTAGTATCGAATCTCAGTTTTACGAGCCAATGTAATCCCCGGGCACTTCTTTGTGCTTAATTTTTACTGGTGAAATAAGGATTCAAATTTATTTATAGTGAGCTTATATACAAATTTCCTTCTCTGAGAATTAATTCCTCTTTGTTTTTGACATAATTCTATATATTTAGTGAATTCCAGTATGGATAATAGATTACTCTGACTGCTATATTAGTATACTAATGTGAGGACCCTTTATTGTTCAAGATATGGGAATTCGGCATCAACGTGTATCACTGAAGTATATGGCAAAAACTTTGCCAAAAGTGTGCGTTTCACAGTTTAAGAGGAGAAGTAGGAAAACAGGGGAACTTCTGATGCAGTCAAAATCCAATTTGAAAACCTGGAAAACTAACTAATATCATAAAAACTATATGAATTGTGCACTAGGTTTACCACACATCACCTAATGCCAGCTATTACAATCCAAGGTTCTCGAGATTGCCAGATCAGCAGGTAACACAGAATTATTTTGTAGTAGTAATTGGGAAGGAAACTGTGAAACAAATATATCCTGCATGTGGCAAACGGCTATCGCATGCACTGAATAAGCAACTACCCAATGTTTATGTCTCAAGTGCATCGTCAGTGTGCAAAATATTAAAAATAATTCATCCCAAACCAGTCAACATAACCCCAGAGAGAAAAACAATTAGAGATCCCATTAATCTAGAGGTTAAAAAGTACATATATCACAGAGGTATCACGAATTATGAAGTGATAAATCATTGAAAGTTTTGATTCAATTGCAAGATCTGAGAATTACAATAATGTAAAAATAAAAGCTCATTTCATCGTTACCCCAATTTTATTATTTCAAGACAAAGACTGTTTTGCATTACCTTTAAATCTCCTATTATATTTTTTCACGTTGGCTTCTTGTCATATTTTGAAATTTCAATCTACTCGTCCTTTCAGTGTCACGATAAAAACAGTCTCTAGTAGAATATCTAGATTGACTGGTGTGAACACAGCAATCGACTTCAGGTTTGTCACACGATGTTCAAAACTGAGCCAAACTGAAAAGCAAGTAGCTTTAACAATAACCCGTAAAAGTTACACATCTTCTGTATCGCAGGCACTGGAAAAGTACTAATATTAATGTCTGATGAAAGAAATTAGAAGATAGATAATGTGGCTCAGTCCTTTGAGTCAATATTAGACACGGCAGAGAAATATCATCTGAGTCACACTACAACGGTTTCCATCTGTTTCCTTCGTTTCTCCTTCAGAGGAGGCGTAGTTGTGTACTCCAAATCAACTAGAACCTTGCAGAAACCTCCCAGTATCAGAATCTCGAGCATACTTTTCGCCGTTCAGTGGTGCATCATTAGTCCTGGGTTGTGTGCTAATTCCATGATCAGTACTCAAGCAGTAAATTAAGGAATATTGTGTTAGTCAACTGCCTTTGCGAGGCGTGGCTGTGACAATTTAGACACTCCAAATTACTTACACCTACAGGCCAAAAGTGCTTCATCACGAATATCGAAATTGGGTTATTGTACTGCGCCTGAGCTCATAGTATAAATGCGGAAAGTATTTGTATGGAAGTACTCTTAACTATTATTGACATATCTCCTTTCCACTACAAGTTAATTCCATCCCGAAAAACTCGTTATCTTAACGCAAAATTTCTTATATCAGATCTACCTGTCTCTGTAAAAATGATGTGCTATCCGTGTAAGTGATTTTCACTAGTGCCAAATACATTCTTACCATTATTATTAGACTCTTACCACTTTGTCTCTACATTAATTACTTGAATTTTATCCTCATTCTAAGAGTTCTCTCAGGAAAAGGTAGTCTCAACGATTCCAAAAGTGATAATGATATTATTAAGACTGAGAGAAATCCATTGCATAAATATAAATGCAGTTAGTTATACTGTGTTTTGGCGCTTTTAAATACTATATTGGTCTAGACTCAGATCACTGGCAAATTGTGATCACTTATGAATGGACGCGTAAACAGAAGTTGCTTTTGCACTAATATATTGTATTGCAAGTTGATTTCCCTTTGAGAGGATAAATGCATTAGTTTAAATGTGTTTTTCTGCTTCACATGTATGCGTATTTTCACAGATTGCTGTCTGTGGAGATTAATCAACACAACAATAGTGACGTCACCTTCCTGTTTGGAAGCGTAAATTGATGCCTAAAAGGAAATTTATTAACTACGAAAGGTGGAGCTCGGTTCGAACACGTAACCAAGTGGTAGAAAGTTGAGCGCCCAGAACACTGTGTATAACTTTGGCAGGGTTATTATCAGTATTCCCTTGGTGTACTCACATATCTCGAAGGCAGCATATCTAACCAGATACCGACACGTTGCTTATAATTTAATTTGGGCTATTACAGTTCAGATAGTTTAGCTTTCTAAGATAATTCTTGTTGTCTCAAAACAACCTGATAATTTCGTGACAGGATCCTTCGGGTTTTTAATGAGAAACGGAACAGCTCAACGCTACAATACAGTAGCAATAATAATGCATCTTGCGAAGTAATACGTGACCGATACTGATTTGTGAGACTTAGGCAAAGAAACAAACTTTAGGCATCCAAACCTCGTAACAACTTTACAGCTAACCAAGACTGTTAAAGTACCTTAAATTAACAATATTTCCAAAATACCCTTCTTCCAATACTATTTTTTCGTAGAGGAACTCGAGGCGATTTTCTGTACTTTTCCCTACAGATACTAAAACTTCAACGAGATTCGAATTCTCTTTCTGCGTCAATGGGACAGTGGGAAGACGGTGTTTATAACTGGTGTTAACCAAACATTAGGAACAAGTGACCGACCGATTTCATTATGGCCTACTTTGCGAAATTTATAGAGCCACTAAAGCCTATAATTTACAGTAAAGACGTGCTTTAATTTATTTTTGGTCATATACTTATCTTACAGAATTCTTGCTGTGCGTTCTTCTATGAACCAAACTTGTTTAGTTAAAAGAAACGCGAACAAGATTTGTGAGTTATTAAAAAATATTGTGCTTAGATTCATTTAAAAACATTCCATCATGTTCATTAACAAAACGCTGTAAAACTGATTCAGGGTCATTACTCACTTTATCCAGTAGTTGAATTGCATCTAACCTGATTAGACGTTGTTTATTTTTTTCAGCCAGTTCCTTTAAATCAATAGATCCATTAGAAGAATAATGTGGACTTAATGTCACATTTAATTCAGATTTTTGTTCAGTAAGCTTATCATTTGTATTCCATGTCGGAACACTTAACTTTGTCTGATCTTCAGTTGTGGGATTTTGATTTTCTATTAAGCTAGTCCTGCTTTTTTGTTCGGCTTTTTCTTCTAGTTCTCTCCTCAGCTTCTGGAGATAGTCGTCTTGCTTCTTCAAAAGCGCCAGTTGCTTTTGGTCGACTGTTGACAGATCTTCCTTGAAAGGCATTTCCAACAATTCATCTTCATACACAGACCTATATATGCTACCTTTATTACTACTTGGAACATCCTGAAACAGCTCCACAGCTTTTCTGTTTACTCTAGGTTTAGCTCGTCTGCAGGTACCAATTTCGATAGGCTCCTTATCATCACCATACGCCCGCTTCTGATGGTAATAAGTCGACTCGATTTTAGACTTCTCAACATCAAGTTGTGCCCTAAGAGTGTTTAGTTGCTTCAGTACGGACTGTGTTCTGTCATTCTTGTGTTGCATAGTTGCTTCGTTATCTATCTGCTTCATTTTGTTCAGTTTGCTGGCTTCTGGACCAATCAGTATCTTTGGACTGCCAGTCGGACTATATCTTCGTAATCCTGAATCTCTCGTCGGTCGACTGCCTTTTGTGGTTTTGGTTTGTGTATGAGTCCTTTTCATTTCTGGGATCTTATCTTCACGAATCTTGTCGTTGCATTCACAATGTCTGGCAGTCAGCTGTTGGGTAGGCTTCTCAGCCCTACTCAGCTTTCGTGCTTGTTCCATCTCAAATTCTCTTTGCATCTTCATCTGTTCTATTCGGATTCTTTCCATATCACGTCTTTCCAGTTCGATCTCTCTTTGTTTTTCGGCTTCCATCATACAGCGCTTTTCCTCAATTTGTTGCGCCAATTCTTCTTTGTACTGCTGAAGACTGCATTTCTGTGCTTCTGTTAATGGACTTCCGAAAATTCCATGACCACCCCTAGCGAAGTTAGGTTGTGACACTTCCTTGATTTCAGTGATTTTTACAGGATTCATTCCTTTTGATTTATCTAAAATCCCCAAGGGCTGCTTATGAGAAAGTTGTTCAGAACTACAGGACATTAATTTTTGTCGCATTTGACTATTATCCCTTGACAGCTCAAGAGTGAGGTTTTGCTCGTCAATTTTACGATTATATTCTTCATCCTCCTTCTTCTGTTGTGCTTTCTTCGCCCTCGCCTCTTCAATCTGTTTTTTCAGTTCCTCAGCATACTGCATTTTTCTGAGCTTCGATTCTGCTGTACTCTGAATTTGTTGTGCATCTACTATAATACTATTACCGACACTAAGCGTTTTTTTCGTTGGTACATCAGAATATGGGATGTGAGTTACCAATAAATCCCGTTGGCCTATGTCGAAGTAAATTGATTCCGTCGGGGTCGTATCTTTTCCAAGTGAATTTTCGCTGTTTGATGAGAACTGTGAAACTTCATTTGTACAAAGTGGTCTGAAGTGTATGGGACTAGGTTTCACAGCATCCATCTTTTCACGCAAACGCTTTTCTTCTATCTCAGCGATTTGTGACTCTAGCTCTCTTCTGTATTGTGCTTTTTGCATCTGTCTTAAGTGCATTTCCTCATCCTTAGTAGGTTTTGTGACCAGCTGACTTCCCGGATTCACATTATTAAAGCTTTGCGCAACATACTGACTGTCGACAAATTTCAGTTTATTGTATTCCTCTTCGATAAGACTCAAGCGTTTATCCGCTTCAGAAATCTGCTGAAGACGCTTCCTTAGATCTGCTTCGTATCTGTCACTATTAAATTAGTTCTAAATATAACTTACTCATTGTCAAGAGCAGCATTAATGAAAGGAACTTTGCCGTTCGCTTCCTTCGGGCCAGTGACTTCGCCACTGCAAAATAATAAAACTTATCATTCAGAAAATCGAAGTAATTTTTCGTATTTCAGACTACTTTAAATACTATGGTTTAAACGTACTCAAATCCAGCAGGATTAATTTGGGAAGCCGCACTTTTGTCAACAAGTAAGGTGTTAATTTTTTTCTCTAGCTCTGTCAACCGGCCTCCCAGATCATTGCTTTTTGTATTATCATTGCCTTTGGACGGGGTCTCAGTCGATTTCGGGATTCCAGAGTGTTCACTAGAAGAAGAACAGCTCTTCTTTTTATCGGAGAATCTTTTGTGAAAGTTTTCTTCTTCTTTTCGTTTGAATTCCAAGTAGTCCTGCATAAGTTCTACACGTCTTCTTGCGCGTTCAGCTTCATACTGTCCAAATTTGGAAAAGAAGTTATCTTCATTTGAGTTGCTGTTCATGCTTCAGGAGGTACTCTGACGTGGATTTTTTCAGTAATGGGTAACCCGTTAGGATGAACTGTTACTATGATTTTGGTTCTTTGCCAGCAAATAATGTACACGACGTGGTGCATTAAAACAAAATAAAAAGGATTAGCAGTTACTGACAAACTAACATGAACTAGACGAATTCTTCAAGCTCTCCTCTAGTTTTTAAGGAGTAGTACTTACAATCAATTAACTCAGTACCCAGTACCTGTTCAGTGAACTCGTGTGAATTTGTTGATTGGTTGCCTCTCGATCCTCGAAACCGTGGAACAGCTCTAGATCTTCATTCGATTCCTGCCCAGAGGATCGCTTCCATTCACTCTTGCAGCTAATTCGAATGCAGTGAGTGAATTGGTGTCGATTCGTATTATTAGTGTCTGGCTGAATGAAAAGCCTCAGTAACTTTTTTCATAATGGTGGATTCTATATTCTCTCAGTAACTCTTTCATCAATTTATACATTTAGATATGCATAAAACTGCTAAACATTTATTTTGAAGAACAATATTAGGGTTTTATATGACGTTGCATCAGTAATATTCATTGATGACAGTGTACGGCATCTGTATGTGACTTTTGCGTAAATATCACACCAAACTGGGCATGAAACATATTAGAGAAATTAATATGAAGTCATAAGTAGTGGTTGACCTTTTTAACTGCAGACAGATTCTATTTTTCACACTTCTGCCTATTTCGCGAACCTTCAGGTCGAAGTTCATCTATCGGTTCAACGGATTTTATGGAGGAAGTTATATTGACCCTAAATCTGGGCACCTAATTTTCTCAGGTGGGTATGATTTACTGAACCCACAAAAGCCACGATTACTGGTCACAGTAATCAGCATGTTTATAACCACTGGCTTTTGATAACAGCATTACTGCCCGTAACTTCAACAAAGTGTCTGCCATCATTGTTGAAAAAGTCGCCGATAGGAGATCTTAAAAATGATGTCTCAAACCACTTCACGACTATATCGTTTTAAGGCTACCGTTGTTCAAAATAACTGAAAGCTCATAGATGAATCATTCTTTTCAGAGAGACGTTCTCAAGATGCATAGTTGCAGACATACGTTATTGTGGCTAAAAAACGGTGAATTCCTATTTACTGCACATCAACAGGCAGCAGTTTTTGTTAATGTCCGGATTTTTGACCTTTAATGAGAATTTAAAGAGTATTGTAGTGGTTCGAATTTGAAAGTGAACGTCAGTTCAAAACGTGTTGACGGCTGGTCAGTTATAACCTAGCTCTTTATTATGCACATAAATTTGGCTTCTTATTCTATTGAGACGGTTGGAAATTACAAAGTGTTTCGACCAGAGTCTGGCGCGTGCTCCTTGAATACGACGTGCTTTTTCCTCTCTAACCGGAAAATACCTATTTTGTGAATTATCCGCTAGGGAAACCTGATCTTCCTAGCCGGTGAATTAAATTCAACCATTACTTACATATCGAATCTCTGTGGTAAGTCCAGCTGTCTCGAACTACTCCCAAAGCTTCAGGTGCTATTTTTGTAGCAGCATCTTCCTCACTCGTTCAGATAAACAAGACTTGTTGGTCTACCACGTGACTGTTGTGAAGCCGATCATCCAGAAAGTACTAGGTAAAGTCGAAAACCTTTTCTTTTCCTTGTCTTGTACTTTTTCAGTCTTATTCTTGTTTTTGTGGGTAGATACTGTTGCACTCTTATTCTTATACAGCATAAGTTTTAGCCATAGTTAATATGACTGTAGAAAGTAACCTTAGAAATGGCACCAAAACACCTTACTCTGTAGTCACAAGGGCTTCAGCCAAAGAAGGCAAAAACCCAGGGACACCAACCCCAAGTCGCATACCCATCCTAAAGACTCGTGTAGGACTCGTCTGTCCTGATACTATGCCTGCATTGCCACAGTCTAGTACTGAAACGGCACAGGCAATACTAGGGGGACAGGATACTACACCTGCATCAACTGAAAGCCAATGTGTGAAGTACAACAAACCTAAAAGGAAACGCTCAAGACGTCATAAGACCTCGAGGGCGTCACCAAGAAAGGGAGACGAATGCCAGGCGTGCAATATCATTGTTTCTAAAGCTGACTCAGCGTTCAAATGCAATTTTTGCAAACGGTGGGTGCACTGCCGTTGCGACAAAGAGGTACCGAAATCATACTACGAGTTTATGAGAAATAACCCGTGCCTGTGGTTTTGGTACATCTGTCCACTCTGTCGCCCTGGCATAGTCACACAGAGCGTGTCTGCGGATAGCAGAAACAACACGCCTCCCTTGTGTCCCAACACGGCCTTATGTAGCTCCCCACCTGCTAACATCGCATTGCCAAAACTTGGCACAGGCAGTAAGAAGGACACTCCAGTCCTACTGACTGAAAATGCCAATTTTCACAAGGTGAGGATTCAAAAGGTTGGACCCAAAACATCAAGGAAAGATAGAATTAGAGAAGCGCCACTTGCATCCACAAGCAAGCTTGGCAACACAATAAAGGCTGGCCAGAACCCGATGAAGCCTAAAGTTGCTGATGCTGCAAAGGAATACGAGAAGCCAAAGGCCAAACCTAAGTCGGAGGTTAATCGGTCTAATTCTCTCATCCTCTTTAACGTACCTGTGAGCAAGGACAGCTTGCTTGAACAGCGGGCCCTGTTTGATCAGGAATAGTGGTCCAACCTGTGCAATAAACTAGGTCTGAATATTAGTTCAGTGAAATTGTGCAGGCTGTACAGGGGTGTCCACACACCTCAAGGTAAGCCACCCCCATTACGGGTTACACTGGACTCTGCCGAAGAGGCCGAAAAGGTACTGTTGATGGCTCAGGTACTAGCCATCGACAGAAGCTCGAACATAAGGGTGAGACAAGACAGACCATGGGATGTCAGACAAATGGCGAGGGAGTCACCGGAACTTTTGCCTTCTACCTCTATGGTGGTACACGGTGTTCCGGAGCTGGGAACGGGCACTGCCTGTGAAAAACACATGCATGACGTACAGCAGTGGAGATGGCTGTCGTCTCAGATGGCCCTTGGCGCTTCTGGAGCCATCTCCGTTTACCGACTACCCCGCCCCGCTCATCTCAAACTGATTAGCTCCCCAGAGCTGCTAAGTGTCACATTCAACTCCCCAGAGCAGTTGGCCATAGCACTTCAACGGTGGTATGAAATCAAGGGGAAATCGGGGGGAGACATCCGATGCTGCAAAAGCAGACCTCGAACCATAAGGAGGCAGCAAACGGAGGCTTTAATACGTCCCTAAGCTTCAGTGACACCAGAGCGATGCAGTTCTGAGAATAACAGTCTGTGCAACCCAAGTGTCCTGCCTAAATCCAAGGGAAAAACCACAACGGGCCGGTTCCATCGGAACTGGCCGACTAGTCCCAACATTAAGTCCCCTACCGACAGACAGCTTCACGTCAACTACCCCACAACACGCTGAGGTTGTAAGACTCACTGTCAGCTGCCTATATAGCAATGTGAGGGGGCTGAGAGGAAGAATAGGTGAACTCCGAAATCTCCAAGCACACCTACAACTGAAAATGATCATTCTTACCGAAACATGGCTAACCCACACAATCGCTTATAATGAAATCAGTATAGGTGATATGGTTTTGGTCAGGAGAGACAGGGATAATAAGGAAGGAGGGGGAGTTGTCATATACTTTGATAGGCAACTTAAATGTGTACGCGCAACGGACCCACCACTTATTGAACTCCCAGACTCCATATGGTGTCATTTCACCGTAGGCCACACCAAGCATTTACTTGGTGGCATCTACCGATCTCCCACCTGTGGGGCAGAGCACAATCAGCTACTGCTCAGCACTATCACAGGGATACGAGACTTGGGCTATGAACAAATCACCATTGCTGGAGATTTCAATGCCCCATCACTGAACCTTGGCTCGGGGTATGCTAAGGGAAAATTCGGCCGAAATCTACTGCAAGCTATTCGGAACACGGGACTGACTGAGAACGTTGGAGACGACAATAGGTGGGGCCCTAGTGGAAAGTCACCAAAACTAGACTACATTCTAACTAGTGACCAACTACTTGTCGAAAAGGTCCAGATCATGACTCCTCTAAGAAGTAGTGGCCATGCAGTCATAGGTTTCGACGTCGTTCTCCGTACGCATTTGCAGTGAGACGCTACGCGACCATGTCTGTGTTATAGCAAGGCTGACTATGCTGAAATGCGGAGGCTCTTGTCCAATGCGGACTGGCCCTTAGCATGGGATGAGCTGTCTGTGGATGAACACTGGGAAGCGGTAAAAAAGATTATTCATACAGTAATCTCGGATACCGTCCCTTTAGTCACAACACAGCCCAAAAGAAAGTCATCATGGTCAAAGAAAGGCACGCAGCGTATTCTGCAAGCAAAGCGGAAGGCTTGGTTTACGTGGCGCGTATCTAAAAGCCGGGTCGACCATGATGCATACGTGGAACCCAGGAACCGGTGCAATGCAAGAGTCAGGAGGGACAGGAGGTCACTCCAGGCTAACCTTGCTAAAAAACTCCTGGCAAACCCGAAGAATTTGTACCGATTCATATCGGAAAGGAAACCAACCAACCAAGGGGCTTGCGCCTTAGTAGGTCAAAACGGTCAATATCTCACTAGTCTGGAGATGGCTGAAACATTCAGTTTAGCCTTCGCCAAAAAGCTAAACAGCAGTGTGGGTATTACCGTTACGAACCAAAATGGTGGCATCACTATTTCACAGGAGGAAGACCAAATAGCCAACCATCAAATAAACCCTGCAATAGTACTGAGAAAGCTGCAGTGACTCATACCTGGGAAGTCCCCAGGCTGTGACGATATCAGGCCATCTGTTCTGAAACAGTGCGCCGAAGCTCTCTGTGGGCCCTTATGCCATTTGTTCCGACACTGAATGGATTTAGGGGAACTGCCAAGGGTGTGGAAAAGAGCCATTCTTTCTCCGATCTTCAAGGGTGGGGATAGGCAAAATCCCACTAGTTATAGACCAGTAGCTCTACTCCCAGTGATATCAAAGGTGCTGGAAAGTATTATTGATGATCACATCA